TATGGGGTCGCACAGTCGGACACGACTGACGTGACTTAGCAGCAGCAGGACTATATATAGCACACCAGGGCTTGCCAGGTAGCACTAGGGGTAAAGACCCCACTTGCCAGTGCAGGAGACAGAAGAGTCATGGGTTCGATCCCTGGGTCAAGAAGACCCCCTGGTGTAGGAAATGGGCAACTAGGTCCAGTGTTCTTGCCTGGGAAATCCCATGGACAGAGGAGCCTGGCGGGCTCCAGTCCATGAGGTCACAAAGAGTGGGCCATGACTGAGCACAGCATGACGACGACAATAATGGAGACGCCTTCCACTCACCGTTCAACTTTCACTCAAATAAAGGGTGAACATTGCAACTAAATTTTTTAATGGTTAGGTTGGGAAATTTGTTGATTTTCTGATGTGGGGTTAACTGTTTCCACTCTCAAAGGCTAAAACTTTGAAAGCGAATATGTTGTTTCCCTCAATGAGATACCACAAAGAAGAGTCACCAGTAAGTCCCCTAGAAGAATACTGTTTCTTTAAATAGATGAACAAAGGCAAGTGGGATGATGTGCAGAAAAACCAACAGCATCAGACACAGAATCCAGGACTCCTGAACTCACTCCTGAAACAGCCCAATACTATCTGCAGACTTAGCACCTCCTCTACAAAGGAGAAATATTATCATCACATCTTTCCAAGAATAACAACAAATCTATTAATATGGATGTGGCTCTTAATGTGGGAATCAAACCTGAAAAGCTTCCTTGATGACCTATTAAGAATCATCACCTAACACCTGAGAACCACACCTTCTCACATTACATGAGTAGAGAGTTGCGTAGAGAGCTGAATCTAACACCTGAGGACCACAATCTTCTCACATTACACGTGAGTTGAATCCCTAATAGCTCTTATGGGTCATCCTGGGAGAAATAGGGCAGAAAAAGTTCAGAGAGGGCCACCAACATGGGCTAAAAGAATCTGCCCGGAAAGAATGAAGATGTATGGAGAAAACAAGGAAATGACTTCTGTGTCCCCTTTCCACTGGTTTTGAATTATGTTACATAACTGATGCCAGAAACTGTGGTCTGACAAATCAGAAAACTGCTGAATGTCAGAGGCAGCAGACCGTCAGGAAGAAGAGCGCAGGCCCCGGTCAGAGAAAGGAGCAGGCCTGCCCTCTGCTCTCAGGCCTGCCCTCTGCTCTCAGCCCTGGGGGGTGTCAGTAAGGTGTGAGGCCATCTCCACCTTGAGCTGGAAGAACTAGACACACAAAAAACCAAGGCGCCCAGCTATAGCAACTTTCATACAGCACAGAAAGCTTATGGGAGAGATCGCAGGCCAGAGAGTAAATTTTGATGTTGCTTTAGTGACCACATCCCAGAACACTTCTTTCAGCAAATAGTGTTGAGAAGACAACACTGGATGAGACCAAAAAAGAGCTCTGTCTAAAAGACTAGGCACAAACCAACAATGTGCATTCATTAGAGACAATTCTCTTCCAACATAACATATTAAAATATGTTTCTATACAGAGTCTGTTGCAAACACCAACTTGTTCATGCCCTCCCCAGAAAAAAAAAAAAAAAAAAAANAAAGCTAGACTATTGGTCAATGACATCAAAAGTAAAATCCTGATGAAAATTCTAAGAAGTAGGTAGGAAAATAAAGGTCCTGCAGTTTGGAGAGGGAGTTAGATCAGATCCATATTTAGAACTGACAGTACAGAGGTAAAATTTTACAATGCTGTGAAAGAGATACTCTATAAAGACAACATAGCTGAATTATCTGTTTTGGCTATTCTCCTGTTGCTTTTTTGTTGCTTTATCACTAACTTGTAGCCCGCCAGGTTCCTCTGTCCATGGGATTTCCCAGGCAAGAATACTGGGGTGGGTTGCTATTTCTTTCTCCAGGGGATCATCCAGACCCAGGGATTGAACCCTGGTCTCCTGCATTGCAGGCAGACTCTTTTACCATTTGAGATATATAAATTTATAAACAGTATAAATTCTCAACCTATTTTTCAGACTTTCTAACTAGAATGACATCTAATTTTCTCCATTCACTTCACCCTCACATAGAGATAAGATTGCATTATCATCATCAGTACTGTATACTAACAGAATAAATGTTTACTTATCCAATAGCTATTGTCAAATAGCCATGCCCTCAAACAGCTTTCAATCTAGCTGAAAAGGCAGTTCATGGACATGAGTGTTCTATGTTCCACAGGCAGTTAGTTACACAGCCCAATTTTATACCCAGAAATAGTAAGATTACCAGAAGTATCCTAAGTACCTGATGTCCTCACAGCCTCTACAATTATCTCTGCCTGGGATATTTCCCCAGCCCACCTACCCCTAGCCATGTAGCACATTCCTATCATTTCTAAACCTAGTTCTTCTTTGCAAGGTTTTAAGGGGAACTTAGGTGATTCTCACCTTGGACCCTATTGCCCTTGTACACACAGGAAGTTGCCAACTTTCAGATATAATGTGTATCCCCAAACATGTTTAAACATCAGCTTTTCAACTGAAACACATAAAAGAGGAGCAATCTCCTTCCATGATACTGGGCAAGAGTAAGCCATCCTTTCCCAAAGAGCTGAAAAGTCTAAAATCCCAAATTATGATAATCGAGGATCTCCTCCTCAAATAATCTCATCCTATCAAATTTTTAAAATGGGAAGAACCCCAAGAGCCTTCACAGTTGCCTTCAAAAAGCAAGTACCCAAATGTTGATGGAAAAGGCAGCCTCTAAACCTCCTCTGAGCAGAAATAATGGCATTAATAGGAAATGGTATGTCCAGACCCTCCTCAATAATCATTATGTATAATTTAACTCACTTAATTCTCATAACCATCCTATGAAGTAGGTATTATCATCATGCCCCGCCCCCATGTTTTTTTTTCCACTGATGAGAAAAATGAAGCACAGGGATGTCAGATAACTTACATGAAACTGCACCTCATGTAATTATGCAGCTGAACCAGGATTCAAGCCACAACCAACCATACAGAGAACATAAATTTAACACAGTTCTTAGGAAAATTAAAAAGAGAAAGAGAACTACCTCTGCTGATGTATGTACAGTTTTCTTTGTCATAATTGATCACTAGGACACCACCAACCTGGGGAGCCTTGATTGAGTTACCGATCAACAGTTTTTCTATTGTTTTTTTTTTAATTGAAGTACAGTCGATTTACAATATTGGGTTAGATTTAGGTGTACAGCATAGTGATTCAGTTTTTGTGTTGCTGTTGTTCTTTTCTTTGTTTTTCAGATTATATTCAGCAACACTTTTAACTCTTCCACACCTCGCTTTGCTCAGCCCTAAGGTTAGGAGTAAACAGAAATCACGTTTAAGTTCTAGTCTAGCTCTAAATTATTATGAATTTGAGACTTAGATTTTTTTTTCCTCTAAAAACCAGTTCTCTTTATGATGAGGTCACAAGAAACATCTACTGTTTTTTCTTTCAAAGCCACAAGAATCTCCCCAGAAGTAAGAGATTCCAAAGCTATACAGTACTTTCAAACATTTTACAAATTTCCAATAAGGATAAGTAAATTATGACAAAATGAAAAAATAATTCAGCAGCAAGACACTAAGAGCTTAAAGAATATGAGAGGAAACTGCTGTTAAAATATATTGTAAGTAATGATAAGCTACTTTCTTTATACTAGTCATAGTCTTACTAAGTAACTTTAGGGCAGACTAAGCTGCTAATCATATATCAAGACATTACCTAAATATGTTATCAGGTTTATGCCAAAATTCACAATTCTGCAACCATGTTCCAAAGTTAAGTCACATCTACCTTAATCTAAATGCTAAGTTAAATCAATTATATCTCAATAAAGTTGAAAAAAATGCTCATTTCTCTCCACCTAGCAAAACAAATGAGCTTATGAAAAAAGGAGTACACACAACTGGATTAAGGAGGATTCAAAAAAAATTCCAACTAATTTTCAGTTCAGTTCAGTCATTCAGTCATGTCCAACTCGTGGCAACCCCATAGACTGCAGCATGTCAGGCTTCCCTGTCCATCATCAACTCCCAGAGCTTGCTCAAACTCATGTCCATCGAGTCTGTGATGCCATCCAACCATTGCATCCTCTGTCGTCCTCTTCTCCTGCCTTCAATCTTTCCCAGCATCAGGGTCTTTTCCAATGAGTCAGTTCTTCACATCAGGTGGCCAAAGTACTGGAGTTTCAGCATCAGTACTTCCAATGAATTTTGGTCCCAATTAATTTTGGTCCCCATCAAAGTCACACTAAAATTACAGTTAAGAGATCTTTGTTTAACATAACCAACAAGGATCAAGAAGTAAAAACAAAACAAAACAAAACAAAAAAGCAGCACAGATAACAGCAATAGAGTTTNGGGGGGTAGGTAGGGGATAAGAAAGGTCCCATCCCCATAACCCTTCAGTTAAACTCCAAGCCCATAAGCCCTAGTGGTGAGCTCAGAGCGAGTTAAGTCCTTCTTTTAGATCCTCACATTTAAGAGCAGACAGCCAAGGACTATCAAATATTCAGGGAACTCGAACTAGAACAGTAGTTTTGAAAAAATTTTTTCCTCCTTGTACAGCCTATTTTCTCCAAATAGCTGTTTTCTGTTTGTCTGTTTTAGTCTCCATCATCCCTGGAGCAATAAGAAAATATATTACATCTATAAGAACAGCATACTGTATATATACATGAAGCATTCAAACAACAATGCCCCAAAGACGTCTCCGTAACAGGATTGGGAAATAAAGTTGAGATAATCTCTGAGAAAGGAAAGCAAGGTAACAGATACAGAAAACAAAACGAGAATAACAGCGCGTCCACTCCAGGACGCCGGAGCGCCTCCTGTGGCGGCCGCAGCACTGTGTGGTGTTGAGCGGGAATAGGCTGACCGTCGTGCTAAAAGGCGGCGGGCGGGGGAGACGGGGCGGCCGCTGTGGGGCGCACTCTCCGGCGGCATCGGCCACCCAGCGTGTCCCGTCAGTGTTGGCCTGAGGAAGAGGCGGTGGCGGCGGTTGGCGGCGACAGAGAGCGTTTGAGCCAGGACCGGGCCGAGGCGCACTCTCCGCCCACAGAAATGAGCTGTCAGACACAGACGGCGTTGCCTCCTGGCAGCTCCCAGAGCGTGGCCGCCCTGACTGGCACAACTTCGCCCAACAGTGACTGGGCGAGTCTCTTTAAGTGACTGGGCTGCTCTGACTACGTATTACCGCCCATCCTTCAGTGTCAGAGTGGCCATCTTGTTTGTGGCAACTGTCGCTCAAAGATCTCCTGTTGTCCGACTTGCCTCGACCCGTTGGCATCCATTCGCAACTTGGCTATGGAGAACGTGGCCAATTCAGTCCTCTTTCCCTGTAAATATGCCTCTTCAGGATGTGAAGTCACTCTGCCACACACGGAGAAGGCAGACCACGAAGAACTCTGTGAGTGTCGGCCTTGCTGCTGCCCATGCCCTGGCGCCTCCTGCAAATGGCAAGGCTCTCTGGATGCTGTCATACCACATCTGATGCATCAGCACGAGTCCATCACAACCCTTCAGGGCGCGGACATTGTTTTCCTCGCTACCGACATTAACCTTCCTGGTGCCTTCGACTGGGTGATGATGCAGTCCTGCTTTGGAGTTCACTTCATGTTAGTCTTAGAGAAACAGGAAAAATACGTTGGTCACCAGCAATTTTTTGCCATTGTACAACTGATAGGAACGCACAAGGAAGCTGAAAACTTCTTTTATCGACTTGAGCTCAGTGGTCCTCGGCGGCGACTGACTTGGGAGGCCACGCCTCGATCTATTCACGAGGGCATTGCAACAGCCATCACGAACAGCGACTGCCTAGTCTTTGACACCAAAGTTGCACAGCTTTTTGAAGAAAATGGCAATTTAAGCATCAATGTAACTATTTCCATGTGTTGAAACGGCAGTCAAACGTTTTCTGGCCAGTGTTTAAAACCACTGCATTCGATTTCAGAAAATAAGGCACCTGCCTGCCTACCAATCAGAATTTTTTGTAGGTAGAAGCTAGACACATGATGCTAAATAAAGGGAAAGGCCATTAAATACATGTAATAACATGCAATATATTTAATGTAATAAATGTAATAACACTAATATATTTAAAAATAAGTCAACAGGAAACCACTGAAATATATATATGCACACACACACACACACACACACACCCCCAAGATGGGCATCTTTTGTATTAAGGAAGCACTGTAAAATAATTCTGAATTTGTGTTTGTTGTAGATTGAGTATACTGTTGAAAAATACTAGGTTCTTGTTTTTTGTGTGTGTGTTTGGATTTTTTTCCCCTTTAACTGAAAAAGCCATGTTGAGTGGTCTTGGACCACTGCTTTTCCCCTACGTGAGTCAATACATAGTGCTGCTGCTGTGTGTATATTTTTGTGTGTGTGTATTTGCTAATTTTTATTAATTCTAGTTTTCATTAAGTAAATTTGACTTTCTTTCCTGTAATTCAGGTTTTTCCTCACTTTTTTGTACCTTTTAAAAATAGTGTCTTATTGATATGCATAATTGTTGATGGTAAAATGTATACATGTGTTTGATACATATTTTCTTTTCCACATTAATCAGTTTATTAGAAATATTTTAAATTCAACTACTTTGTGAAGATATGGGTTTCAGAAAGGAAAGGTAACATCGGAAGAATCATCAGTAGCTATTTAAAGCAGCTATAAAATGGCCTCCCTCTCTTGTCCAGTTGAGTCATACCTTCAAACTTATTCTTTGTCAAGCTAGAGAGTACTGATTCTTTTTTAATACTGGGGAAAAAAAATCAGGTTCCCCGTCCCCCCACATATCTTGGACAAACTACATATGTTTAAAATTTGTTCTTGTATCTATTGGTTTTGCAAAAGAAGGCATCATCTCACACAGTATTTGTAATTAAAAGCAAATCATTTGTTTAAAAAAAAAGGCAGTTTGCAAAAAAAATGTTTTTGGTCTTTTATAATTCGCATTAAAAGAATATCTGGCCAATTAAAAAAAAAAGAATTATAGAACTAGTTCAGATGCTCTAACAGCCAAACAACAGAATTCCAGAAAGAGGAAAAAGGAAGAAAAATAAAAATATAGAGGATGTTGTAGCAGCAACCAATACAACACTGTAAAGCAACTATACTTCAATAAAACTTGATTTTAAAAAAAGAGAGGAAAGGCAAAGAATTAATTCACATAAATTTTCCAGAACTGAAAGACAAGTTGCCTGATCGAGAAAGCCTGCCTAGACCCAGCACAATGGATGAAAATAGACCCACACCAAGCAACCTGCCCATGAATTTCAGAAGGCCAAGAACAAAAAGGAGTTCACAAGCTTTCAACGAGGAGATATAAATAGTCCAGTGCAAAGGATGATGGATCAGAAGGCTTCTGACTTCTCTAGGCCAACAATGAAAGCAAGGAGGCAACAGAGCAGGTATAGAAATGTCAGTCGAAGCAAGGATACAATAAAGACATTTCCATCCCTGCACAGTTTCCAGAAATTGACCCCATAGGCATCCTTTCTCAAGGGGACGTGGGCGATGATATAAAAAGTAAGAAGGAGAAAACACGGGACACAAGAAGAAAGAGATCCAACACAGCAAACAAAGACAACCTCCAGGATAAGAGTGACGAGGGATCTCAAGATGACAGGTGAACCGCAGACAGGGCACGGCCGGCGCGGAGCGCGGCAGCAGCTCAAGTCCTAGGGGTGTGGACTGCAATCAACACAAGAGGCTTCCTGCTCCTGGACCCTCTTTCTAACGCCAGGAGAGAATTCCCAGGTGAGCTGGCCCAGATTCTCACCTGGGCTTGTTTATCTCAGTGTGCTGATGAAGTGCCTCTTCTCCACTCCCCTCCATGCCCACAAAAGTATTCTGCTTGGACCTACTTCTGAGAGCAGGAGCAAAGCCATGGCGGGCTTCGAATCAAAAGTAAGCAGCAGTCACAGAGCAATTAAGCCCAGGCCACAACTACTGAGCCCGTGCACCTAGAGTCCACGCCCCACAACAAGGGAAGTCACCACGATGAGAAGCCCGTGTGCCGCAACTAGAAAGCCTGCACACAGCAGCAAACACCCAGCACAGCCAAAAATTAATAGAGAACAGACTTGTGGACACAGTCGGGCAAGGAGAGGGTGGGACGAATGGAGCCAGTGTCATGGGAACACATACATTACTATATGTAAAACAGACAGCCAATGGGGATTCTGCTGGATGACTCGGGAGCTCAAGCAGATGCTCTGTGACAACCTAGACAGGTGGGATAGGGTGGGAGGTGGGAGGGAGGTTTAAGAGTGAGGGGATATATGTATACCTAGGGCTGATGCATGTTGACATATGGCAGAAATCAACACAATATTGTAAAGTAATTATCCTTCGATAAAAAATAAAAAAATAAAAAAGCAGTAGTCTACTCCCCTAACTTCGCTGATCATTCAGCTACTAGTCCAAACTACAGTCCTGGCAAATGCTACAGGACCCGCTTACAATCTTGCCCTCTGACACCCCAGAAGGGGCTCCAGTGAATTCATCAGACTGTGACCCAGAAACTGGTTATCTTTTCAGAGCTTTTCCAGAGGTAACATTACCCTCTCCCTACACAAGTAGGGGTGGGCTTGCTACTCAGCTCTTTAAAACTATATGTTATTCATGAATATGTACAGGAGGGGAGAAAAACTATGAAGAGAAGTGAGGGAATAATTAACACAAGTGCAGTGGAGAAAGCCGATTGCAACTGGGGAGGAACACACAGAGACTTCTAATGTGCCAGTAATATTTGTTAGTCTTGATAGGTGGATATCCACATATATCACCTTTTGCTTATTTTTTAATATACGTATATGTATTAGAATATTCTTCTTTATGGTGATACATTTTATAATATTTTAAGTAGTAAGTGAATTCTATTTAAATCAGTGATATTGTTTTATTATATTAAAACACTAAAGAGACCAAAAAATTTTCTTAAAATTTTTATGCTTGTAAATGTGAAATGTTATATGAAATGGGCAAATTCTATGTCACTGACCCAAGCTGATAGAATAAGAATTAGAGAATACAAATAATCCTATAATTTCTAAAGTTGAATCCATAATTTAAAACATTCCTACAAAGGAAACTTAGGGCCTAAATATTTTACCAGTGAATTCCACCAAATATTTATGAAAGGAATAATTCCAGTCTTACACAATCTCTTCTAAAGAAACGAAAAAGAGGTACTCTGAAGTAGTAATATCATACGACATCCCTTATATGTGGAATCTAAAAAGTGATACAAAAATTTCCATCCATTATCATTGTTTCTATTCAAGATTAAACTGAAGTTCATAACCAATACACAAGAGAAAAATAAAAGGATGGTAAAGAAATCCATAAAACAAAGTATTCACAGGTGATAAAGATCTTGCACTTAGAAAAAAACAGAAGCTTTTACATAAATTATTAAAATTAACAAAAGAAAAAGTAAGATTACTAGGTATAAGGTTCAGGTGCAGAAAACAATCATATTTCTGTGTTCTAGAAACAGTTTCTTTTTTTTTTTTTTAATTTTCCATTTATTTTTATTAGTTCGAGGCTAATTACTTTACATCATTACAGTAGTTTTTGTTATACATTGAAATGAATTAGCCATGGGTTTACATGTATTCCCCATCCCAGTCCCCCCTCCCACCTCCCTCTCCACCCGATCCCTCTGGGTCTAGAAACAGTTTCTTAAAAGATACCAATTCAAAACAGCATCAAGAAAACTCAATTTCCTAAGAATAAATATAGTAAAAATATATAAGGCCTCCACATAGAAAACTGGAAAATATCATTCAAATAAGTTGGAATAATAATAAATAATAATTTAAAATGCCATCTTTATAGACCAGAAGACCCACCATTATAAAGACATCAATTCTCCCCAAAAAGCCAATAATAAACAAAACAATCTTAAAGAAGAGCAAGGTGTAAGAACCAACTATCAGCAAGAGTTATTATAAAGTACAGTAATTAAGACAGTGTTGCATTAGCTCAAGGATAGACAAAACAAAACAGAATAAAAGCTTCAAAGTAGACCACACACATACAGACATTTTTACAAAAATGGCACCATAGAGCAGTGGGAAAAGGATGGTCGCTGGTGAACTAGGCTAAGTAATTAGATGTCCACATGGACAAATGAAATTTGACTCCTATGTCATATCACAAACAAAATGAATCAATTCTAGGTGACTCAAGATCTGAAAACAAAATAATAAAGCTTTCTGAAAATAAAATAGGAGAATAAAAAAGCACCAGTTATAAATACAGGACTGGTTTTGTAATCTATGGGAACCCCTTAAAATTATAAACAGCAACAAACAGAGCATTAAATCAAGTGTGGGGCTTTAATGAGCATGGGCTCCAAGTGTCTGCACAGATCACATGCTGATGAAGCTGGCCCTCCAAGAAGCTAAAAGACTAGTAAATTGGACTACATAAAAACTAAGGACTCTTGTTCATTGAATGACACTCTTCTTTTTCAACTGCTCCATCTCTTTTTATTATAATCCTGTCCCCATGTTCCAGAATGAATAGTTATTTAATATACACACCACTGAATATTTACTGGAAGGCTCGATGCTGAAGCTGAAGCCACTGGATGCAAGGAGCCAACTCACTGGAAAAGACCCTGATGCTGGGAAAGATTGAAGGCAGGAGAAGGGGATGACAGATGAGATGGTTGGATGGCATCACTGACTCAAAGGACATGAGTATGAGCAAACTCCAGGAGATGGTGAAGGTCAGGGAAGCCTGGCGTGCTGTGGTCCATGGGGTCTCGGAGTCAGACACAACTGAGCGACTGAACAATAATAACAACAACACACACCACTCCTAAAATTGATCTTAACATTCCCATTTCTTTCTCAGTATATTAAAACAAAAGGGGGAAAAAGCTTTCAAAGAGATCACCCGGTTTAGTACACCCCAGGAAGAGCCACTTTACTAAACAACAGGAAACAAAACATGTCAGGAATCTGACCAAATACACAAAGCAGCAGGTAAGATTCCAGAAAGGAAAGAACGACTCCCAGGAGAACATACATAGATTCCTTCTAAACAACACTCTTGAGAGTGAAAAGGCAAACCTGAAAAGTGGGAGAAGGTATTTGCATCACATACATCTGACAAAGACTCATATTCAGAATACATAAAGAAGTCCTACAAATCTGCAAGAAAAAGACAATCTTTTTCTTGGGGACAAATAGTAAGAGGAAGAGGTGCTGAACCACATTAGTAATCAGCAAAATTAAAACAAAAATCATGCAGCCACTAAAACACTCACTAGAATAGTTAAAATTTGAAGGATTGACAACACCGACACCAACTGTTGGCAACTCCAAATCTGTCTAATTCTGTTGTTTTTCCCCGTAGCACTTATTACTTTATTTTTTTTCCCATTTATTTTTATTAGTTGGAGGCTAATTACTTTACAACATTGCAGTGGTTTTTGTCATACATTGAAATGAATTAGCCATGGATTTACATGTATTCCCCATCCCGGTCCCCCCTCCCCCCTCCCTCTCCACCCCATCCCTCTTGGTCTTCCCAGTGCACCAGGCCTGAGCACTTGTCTCATGCATCCAACCTGGGCTGGTGATCTGTTTCACCCTAGATAATATACATGTTTCAATGCTGTTCTCTTGAAACATCCCACCCTCGCCTTCTCCCACAGAGTCCACAAGTCTGTTCTATACATCTGAGTCTCTTTTTCTTTTTTTGCATATAGGGTTATCGTTACCATCTTTCTAAATTCCATATATATGTGTTAGTATACTGTAATGGTCTTTATTTTTCTGGCTTACTTCGCTCTGTATAATGGGCTCCAGTTTCACCCATCTCATTAGAACTGATTTAAATGAATTCTTTTTAATGGCTGAGTAATATTCCATGGTGTATATGTACCACAGCTTCCTCATCCATTCGTCTGCTGATGGGCATCTAGGTTGCTTCCATGTCCTGGCTATTATAAACAGTGCTGCGATGAACATTGGGGTGCACGTGTCTCTTTCAAATCTGGCTTCCTCAGTGTGTATGCCTAGAAGTGGTATTGCTGGGTCATATGGCAGATCTATTTCCAGCTTTTTAAGGAATCTCCACACTGTTTTCCATAGTGGCTGTACTAATTTGCATTCCCACCAACAGTGTAAGAGGGTTAGCGACTAAACCACCAAGAAGGTGTTAATTTTAACACCTTCTTGGTGGTTTAGTCGCTAAGTCATGTTTGACTCTTGCGACCCCGTGGACTGTAGCCCACTAAGTTCCTCTATCCATGGGATTTTAAAGGCAAGAATACTGGAGTGGGGAGCCATTTCCTTTTCCAGGGGATCTTTCCAACACAGGGATTGAACCCGGGTCTCCTGCACTGCAGGCAGATTCTTCACCAACTGAGCTACCAGGGAAGCCCTAACACCTTCTTATATACATATAAAAAAGGATTGATTGATTCTCAGCAAGCCTGTGACCCAACTAGGTCAAGGAAAGTGAACTATGGGACTTTATGGAGTTATGGAAAAAGATCTGTTCTTTTGATAAGTTAGGTGAGTTGGAGCTGCTGTTGGTCATTTGGGTGTTATCCAATACAGAGGAAAGCACAGCTAAGAGATGAAGTTATATTTTTAAAGATGCTCTTTGAGCACTTCTATCTGATTTAGCTACACCTGAAGGCACATCCCTGGACTTTTAATTAGGTAAGTCCATCAATTTCCTTTATTGCTTAAATAATGCATTTCTATACCCCCAACTAAAAGGAGATTTATCACTGTTATGAGATAGTAACAAAAAAAAAAGAATGGGAGACTGAAAAATAGTTCATTAATCATCCAAAATTACATTTATGAATAATTTATGACAATGGCACCAGTTTATGGTATGTCACATGAAAAAGGTGGGATACAGAAATATTATATTTCCAACTGACTTTGGAAAAACTTCATATTACAAAACTTCATATTTTTATTCAAGTAGAATAAAAATTCAAAAAATTTAAGAGAGCATCTTTAGAAAATTATTTTTTCCTCTTTTTTCAACACTTCTGTATTTTTCAAAGTTCCTTTAATATATT